TTGTTCTCCTAAAACGTCAGTCTTTAACGGCAATACTAACCGTGACACCAACAACATTTTCAGATAAGCACTATTATCATTATTTCAATATCACCATTCTTCAACTGAACAGCTCAATAGCCATGAATACGATTGCCAAACAAAGTAACAACCTCATCACTGACGGATGATGAACGATACGGAATGCGCCATAGTGCATGAAAGAAACGTGCGATGCGTCGAGTTTGTATCGCCATCAGAACAGCCCAGTATACCACACCGGACACAGCCATCAATGTTAGAATACGACCGAGCTGCTGAAATTCCCAAATTCTTTATGAAACTCGTGTTCCCCTTTAGATTGAAGCAGAGTTTTGCAAATGATAAACTCACATCCCAACTGTAAATTGACGCATGATCCATGCCGTCCTCAGCTGCCGTTAACACATTCATAAGTAACGGTGAAATCTCGTAACCAATTATTATCCAAAAGCCATAGCTCATCGCATACGGCGGCAATAACAGAAGACACATCGTCTAAAATCATCATCAGTACCATTATATTACCAAACAGATATATGTAGATGAACGGTTGTTTGTTTGATCATGCATACAGCCCGAATAATACTTCAAACGATAATTATGAAAGTTAATCAGAGCAGAATCCATCGAATGAATATTAATAATTAGGAAGAAAAATAAAAGCAGAACAACTATTGCTATCGTTTGTTTGAAATAAATGAAATTAAGATTTACATGGTAAACAGGTTGTATTTTTGGTAAGTATACACCCATAATGAATTTGAGAATTAGCGCGACGATTGGGACAACAGCACTGTAGGTGATGAGAGCAGCATAAGCTTTCGGCGCCTGATCGATCAGGAACGATACGATGTAAATGAATGGCAGCCAACACCAGAAATATAACAACCATAACAACGCAACACTGAAATTCAATGAATACGCAACGAAGATTTCAAAATATCACAGCGATTTTTCAAATGCATCCTGCACAGTTATATTTATATTCACAGATAAATATCGCTTTAAAATGATCACCACTTTCATTATCAATGAAAAAACTGAAGAATGAAAAGAAAAAAAGACGAAAATGCAACGAACTCGGCTTTATGTTCGAGCATCCAACCAGACACCGAAAATATGACAAGGAACAGTGAACAAGCTAGAGAATATATGAACAAATCCGATAGAATCATCGATATCCAATAGGTGAATGGACTGAGTGGTGTGAGCAATTGCTATAATTATATTTATATATGCTAAAAAACGTACAAAAAACAACGAAAAATTGAAATTTGATGCACATCTCTTCAGTATATACAATGACGACGAACGATCAGATGGAATCGATAGGGAAATTCGAATTTCGAATCGGAAAATTTTCTCGGCTTATGACTTCAAATTCAGATGATCGAACTGATCTCGAACATGGAACAAAAACAACTCCTCCATAAGAAATCTGTCACACATAANAGCATTTTTTACTTCCCCAATCATACTTGGAGAAAATTCTTTGCGATCAACATTAAACGAAAGTGTGCAATAAACAAAAAGTGAGAAGATTTAAGCCAGAATTACGTGCAGGTGATGATGCTCAAAAGATGACATTCGACTACGTTCATATAACTTTGAAAACACAATTAATTATGAAATTAGAGCACGAAACAGATTCGATTCCCTTCAAAACAAAACGAAACAAATTCTCCTCCTTTAAAAGTCTAGTCGGATAACATGAAAATTAGCTGCTGCAAAACAAATCTCTCATCGCTAAAAGAAAAGTGTACAATTTGAAGAGAGTGAATGAATTACCCGGATCTATGCCCAGTCGAGCGTTACTCACTAATGACAACGCGATAACAGGACCGTGTCGTGCTTTCGCGTTGAAAAACGCTTCTACGGATGTTTGGTTTGCAGTTCGATTCTCCGCAACAATTGCCACACCTAACGGCGGTAAAACCTTAAATTGAATACACAATTCAAAGATACACCGATGAAAATATGAAAGAGATAAACGAGTAATTTGAAGGCAATTACCTTCGGAGTGTCAATAATGACACGCGACATATCATCTTCGGCCGGTATTGCGCGTATCGTATAATCCGGTATAGCATTAACAATACGAGTTACATTATTGGAGAAGCCAGATAGCTGATTTTTGAACTGCAGAGGTATTATGGATGGAGCTAATTGACCTGCGTTCATTACCACTTCTGCAAAAGACCATATGGCTCACTAAATTGTTTTCACGAAACTTCACCTTTTCGTCATCAAAAAAGAGTCGCTTTTCAGAGAATATCATCAAATACCTATCAATGCCTCGCGAACTCGAATTCGAAATCAAGTAACTATAAGAATGCTTCAATTCTGAAATGACCGAAATCGGTCTGCAATGAAAATCAGAATATGAAGC